CCGGGGGGGGGGGGGGGGGGGGTTGGCAGCCGACAGTGTGAGATCCAAGAATTCACAACCTGACGCGATTACGAAACGCCGAGCGGCTAACCTGGAATTCGGCGTCACGAAGCCAAAGATGCAGCACGTTGCGACGTGTGACTTTGGTGCGCCAAGAAAGCCAGTCATGCCGCTTGTAGAGCTGCAGTCTGCGAAACTGGACGGGACCACACATCATGAAAAGCCACTACAGGGGGAAATGCCACAATGTGAGCAACCATTTTCTTTTTCCTGGAAGACCAAATGGTGAAAGCAGCTAGACACTGAACTTGCATGGAAGCAGCAATAGCCTCGCTCGTCATAACGGTAAATGTCGCGCAAAGGCACGTTGAACTTCTGCTCGACCATCATATTCAAAGCAAATTCCATCATGTTCTAGGCATGCAGCACACGCAATGTATGGTCAATTGTGAATGGTCTCAAAGTCCACGCAGCTGGGAATACGTACATAAAGGATAGCAGTGCGCAGAATTCGACTGTATGAGGCAGGCACATGGCCCTTGTCAACAAGACCCCGAAAGCGAGCTTCGGCACCTAAAAAGACACGGGGCTCGGTCAAGAGAGCGAGCGAGGGGCACAAAAGGCGTGTGGCCGTTGATACGTGGCCCATGGCACAGACCGCTGCGAATGAGGATATCCCAGACGGTATCGCCTTGATTGTCCGGCTCGTCGCATGAGAACCCGTGCCTATTGAGGTCAAAACGGGAGGCGCAATTGAGTGTCAAGACTGGACTGGGGTGGTGGTCATTGGGCCAGCAATGGCCACACCCTCATCCCAAGCGTTCGCGAACGCAGGTGGAGTGTCGTACTGTGTCAGCACGTGGACGCTTTCAACAAAGTCTTTTGTGTTTAGAGGAATGTCGGCCAGCAGATGCAATAGAGTGCGACGGCCGCGTCGATTAAATTCTGAGGGACTGTGAAGAAGATGGGCTTCATTCTGACGCCTGCAAGCGTCGCGAAGTTTGGTGCGGACGGGCTGTGGGAGCGCTGCCAAAAAATGGTCGGAGGTCTAAAGAATTGACAATCGAGTGCGAGAGTGAGAAAATTGACGCAGATGCAACAGTTTGGGGTCTTCAAGGGCTTTGAGTGCTCAAAACGTGCCCGCCAATTCATCTGCAGTTGAGGTGATGATGTTGAACGCCGAATTCTCAAGCGGCCAGCGGCCGCGGTGGGCATCGAAGGCGTTCTGGATGCCAAAGTTGGACTGGTGGCCGGGCTGATCGGCAAATCTTCCAGCCCACACCGATCTGTGGCGAGCTGTTGGACACGTGCGGCACTAATGGGTTGGCAATGACCAAGCACTTCAAAGGTCAGCTTGAAATGGAAATCGCCAGGCAAATCGACCTGGAATCGAGATGGTTTCTTGGATGATGAGCAAAGGCCGCCTCACCTTGTTGGTAGGCTTGTGGTCAGAGGCAGCGGGCGCGACATACGACGAGCTGACTTGGGATTGGCGTTGGGAATTAAAGTTGTACTTGCGGCTGTGGTACCAAAGATGCGCCTCGTGGATGGCCGCGTTTTGGAGGGCGGTCGCTTTTGTGCCGCAGCATTTGGCTGCAGCGAAGATGAAGCGACGTGATCGCCCGGCTGCGCCATTTCTATCCGGAACGAAAAGGTAGGATGGAAACAGGGGGAAGTGAATGCCAACACGATGCCGTCGTGAGGCCTGAGGATACTGATTCATGCCAGCCAACGAGAGTATATTATGTGCAGATTTTGTGTATGAGCTCGCAAGGCCACCGGACTCAATCATTCTCATCCACGTCAGTGCAATGTATGGATGAATGAAAAAAAGCAGCGAAACAAGACACAGCAAGCATTGGTTTTGGGCAGGAAGGCCATGCAGGGTTTGCGCTGCCATAGCATGGCGTTTGCGGATGGGGCGAGCAGATCATGATTTGAGGTGATTTGTGTTGTTTGTGAAGTTTTGTTTGTGCCCTTTGTCTAAAGTTTGCAGCATCAAGGAGAATCGAGCGCGGAACGACGACGGGCCAACATGTAGCAGTCTCTTGTTTTGAGGAAGAGGGACGGGTTTGTGTTTGTTCAAGACTTGCAAATATGGCACATTTGGCAGTCTTGGATCAAACACTGGTGAAGCAATGCGTACCAAGACAACGGGAAAGAATATTGAGGTGCAGGAACCGTACCTGGGGAGTGGTGCAGATTGTCCAATATCCGGGTCCACCAAGACCAAGGTTTGGAACCGGGAATTGGCCAGTGCAAGCGAGTTGCGATCCTCGCTTTGCAGAGCAAAACCAGCGCACGGCGCCAATGGGTGGGGAAAGGAGGGATTGCCAGATGAAACCCACTCAGCGCACTTGACAGGCGATGGACAGGCTCGTTGAGCGCCAGTGATTCACCAGTCAGCGGGGGGGAGGAGGTGAAGAATTAAGATTGTTTGGACCCGCCCAGCCTGAGCAGCGTTTTTGTCCAAGCCAAGCTCCAAGTCTGGGACTGGTGGCGGGCTTGCTGGGCTCTAGTTTCATCCGTCGGAGCGCAGCATGATGATGGCGGGCGGGGCTTCTTTGGCGGGGCGGGCCAAACGGCCCTGGTTGGTGTCCGAGCGTTGACCCACAATCAGAGCATGAGCACCACGATGGGGACAGGGTGTGCTTCTGTGAGAAGCGTGCAACAAGGTGGTTGGCGGCAAGAAGCAGCACGAGAAAGTGCACAACTGGAGGGGGCGTGGAATTTAGCCCAGGACAACTTGATTGAGTTGGGGGAGCACACACATGCACATTTGAATCAAACACACTTTAGCGGTAGCATCGCAAAGACATGATCGAATAGATGGGGAAGAACAGGCAACACCTGGCAGGAAGGTGATCGAAAAGTTGGGAGAATGGGCGCTGATGCGGCAGAGGTCGGTGTGTGGTAAGCGAGGGTTGAGTTCAACGTGTGCTGGCGCAAGACACTCGCGTGTGAGTGGGTGAGTGAGTGAGTGAGTGGGTGTGTGCTCCAAGGGTGTGCGCAGGCCTCTGCACAAGCGGCTGGAATGTCGGGGCGAGTCACGGGTGGTTGATTTCATGTACGTGCCAACGATGTCGGCTGTGCATGCCGTGTGTGTGTGTGTGTGCGGATGTGATTTGACATGCTGGCTGAGTTGCACTTTGGTGTCAGCCAGCGGCCGTGGAGGCGGTGGTGTTGGGGGGTCGAGCGAGAAGAGCCACAGCGTTGTAGGAGCGAAGAAGACACTTCTGAGTACGGATGCGGTTGAAAATTTCAAATCTTGGCAGTCCGCTCTCTGGCCTCGTTCTCCATCATGCTGTGGACGTGTCCGTGTCTGCGTGTCTCTCTCTCTGCGTGTGCGTGTTCGTGTTCGTGTTCGTGTTCGTGTTTGTGTCTGTATTTGTCTGTGTTGACGCACACGCTCAAATTTTCCACACGCCACCACGCAGCACACAGGCACTCACACACACACACACGCATATACTTGCGGCACACAGACCTCAACTCGACTCGACAGAAAGGGTGTCGGCGGCGTACTACAAACAAAGGTAGGGCGTCGGAAAATGGATGCGCGTGGGCCTGGCAAGCGAGAGGGGAATGGAGAAAGTGGATGATTCACGGAGGGAGGAGGAGGACGAAAAAAAGCTGGTTCCTACACGGATGGTGCGGGGGGGCGAGCGGAGAGGATGACAGTGTTGAGCGGGTCGGTGGGTGTGTTGTGCTTGGGGCCTTGATTTGCATGGTGCCCGGCCCATTGCCGTGAGGTGTATGGGGACTGAATACCATGGGCTCGAGCCAGGTGTGTGTGCGTGTGTGTGCGTTTGTGTGTGCGTGTGTGTACGTGAGAGTGCGTCAAAGACGGATAAACGGCAGGGGCACATCAATGGTGCAGCGGTGCAGAAAAAAACCGGTTGGGGCTAGGAACGACCGGGACACCCCGCACCAGCTGGGAAGTGCGTGTGTGTAGGTGGTGACGAACATGTTAGACTGGATCTGTTTGCCAAAACTTGGACGCTGGTAGGGTGATGACGTAATCGGTTGAAAGGGAAAGCTGATGATGCGATGGATGTGATGATTCCAATGACACAAAAAAGTCTTCCTCCTTGATCGAGCGGAATGTATGACGCAGCAGCAACGGTAATGGCAGCAGAACAGGGGCAGTCATAAGATGACGCGATGGCAATCAGGATGGGGATGACAGCGGCGGATGGGGCAAGAAGGGGATTCCGGCAGTTATGTTGCTTGGTATCCGATGCCAAACTTGACCCGGCGTCGTCATCCGCAGGCCCACGAGAGAAACAGCCCAGAGACATCATGCGTTGTGCCAACAAAGATCAAGCCAGCTGAAGGTAGGTCAAGCGGAGCAAGCAACATGGGCTCTGCAGAGTTCAGTCGTGTGTGGCCAGCACTCTTCTATACCAGTGTGTGTGCATGGTATGCACCATGGGCGTTGAGTGGGTGGCGATTGACTTGGTATGGGGTCTGAGGCGCGAAAATGATGTCCTCCAATGTGCTGATGTTTGAGAAAACGAAGCAAGGAGGGATGCGCGGGCCAGCAATCATGTTATTCTCGATTAATTCCTTCTCTTCATGGCAGTGAAGTGAGGGCGGACATGAACCGCACAAGCCACGACCTGGCTGCCCCATGATTCCATGGTTTGGGCGGACTGGTGGGCGAAGACGGGATCAATTTTCCCGGGGCTCACCGCACCGGTCGCTTTGTGGAAGCAGCCGTGTGACTCATGTTGCTGGTGTGGCTGCAACGCTTGCCAGTGATGGGTCTCGGGGGCGGGATGGCGCTAGATTGACAACGATGGTTTATCTTCGTCTGGTCGCTCTCTGCCACCGTTGGCGGCGTGGATTGAGCGCCGCATCGCGAGGACAGAATGCCTTTTGCTCCTCAATGCCGACGTCGATGCCATGACCATTCTTGGGGATGGTCCAAAATTCACACTTCAACAAAGGTCATGTCCTTGTTGTTCCGCAGCCGTGTCTGAAACCCATCACCCAGCGGCTCTTCTCTTCTCCAAACTCACACCCGCTCACGCTTTCCCGTTCCTTCCGCGCGCGCATACGATGGTATGGAATCAGCCACATAACTTGCATCTTTCTCCTGCTTGATCAAGAGGTGTGCAGCCAAGCCAAACGGCGGCGGCGGGTTGTTGGTGATCGAGTGCCCATGTGGGGCCGAACAGCCAAGGGCAGGATGGTGGCCAAGGCCGACAGCGATCCAGGTTGCGAAGACGCGGATGTTGAGTCATGGAGACCCAACAGCTGGAGGACGGGATGCGTATGGGATTTGGAATCACCGGGACAGTTTTGAATGCACAACGTGTTCAGCCCAAGGATCCGCAACAACTCGACCGGCATGCAGGTGGCCAAGCTTACTGGCCTATCTGTATTTCGACGATTACTCTACATTTAGGTGCGACAACAATTTCTTCCCTTGGTGCCATTTGCACTCTTCGGCCCTCTTCTTCGACGATCATGTCTTGCGTGTGATCACGTTCTCACTCACAATCCTGCAAAAACGGCAGTCAGCGAGCCGGTGCTCGACGTGTGCCAAACCAAAAAAAACCAGGCGGGACACGGCACACAGACCACGAGCTAAGCAAGAGCGACACCATCACGAAGCACACACGCACAAACACACACACACACGTACACACACACACCACTGCGAGAAGATCAGCGGTCTTGAATATTAAGAGACCAAGAGACCAAAAGGGACCAAAAGACCAAGGGACCAAGAGACCAAGAGACCAAGAGACCAAGAGACCGACCAAGGGACTGGTATCCAAGTCTGAGAGAAGACTCAAACTCGCACAATCTGCGAATTGCAAGAGAGCGCAGCACATCAAAGGCGAGCTACCGTGTCAACAGCAAACGACAGAGGATGATCGCCAGAGAGGCGACTGGCCGACAGACGACAGAGAGGAGACAGGCTTTTAAAAGAATAACATTCAAATTTAAATTTACATGTGAATGACACAGTGTAACCTCAATGAAAAATTTGTAATTTTTGTCAATTTTTAAAACTTTTAAGTCGGATTTCGTATTTTTATTTCATTTTTTAAATTTGGTGAGTGAGGGGAGGATGATGCCATCGATGGCAGCTAGCTCCCTGGGGAAAGGGAGGGGTTGAGAGAGGCGGGGGCAGACGGGGCGGGCGGAATGGACGCGTTAGCAGTCTGGTGATCAGAAGGATTTGGGTGGAAGGGGTGGGTCTGTGAAGATTGAGAATAAAGGTGGAAGGCGGAAGGCTGGCATGCACCTGCCAGTGCCTCACTGCGCTCGTTGGGTGCTTTGGCGCCCAAGTTGCAGAGACTCGGCTGTGCTGCTGCTCCCGGTGGTGATTAGACACACGCTTACCCCCACAACATCATGGCTGTACGTTGGAACGGCCTCATGAATCTTGGCTCCTTCGCATCTAACCCAGACCTCAATTGGCCCTTCCATATGTGTGCCCTCGCAGCTCTCCCGTGCCAAAATCTTGGCCAGCCGATTCCGCCTCCAGCCGGTAAAGCACGCACCTGCACACCACAACCTCACTTCAATAGCATGGCTAATCCCATGCTTGTTCTTGATTCTGTATCCACCGAGTCTATACGGCTACTCCTCCCCCGGCTCCCTCCTCTTTGCTCACCAGCACTTGGTCTGGGATTTGCTGGCACAGGAAACTTTTACCCAGGGTTGGACGGATCACGTGCGCAATGGCTTTCTCGACACGATCGGCAAGCAAGTTGACCTGCCAGCCCAGACTTGCCTGAAACCGCCCCTATCCCAGCACTGCACGCGTCGCCATTGATCTGACCCTGCCCGTCTTGTTGGTAGGACCCCACTCGTGCGTCTTCAAGGACCCAGTGAAGAAACAGGTGCGTCCCAGCCTTGTGCCGTTGATCCAGCTTTTACGCATTCTCGCCTCTTTGTTTAGGACATGACTGTCATCACCCCACCCCCTGTCTTTCTGTCTCTCTTCCTCTGACCCGCGGTGCTGCCGCTCTGCAGGTTGCAATATTGTGGCCAAAATTGAGAGCATGCAGCCTGGCGGCTCGGTCAAGGATCGGGCCGCTCTCATGCTTGTGCACGATGCCGAAGAGCGAGGTACCGCGGCTCCTCGCCGATCAATCGTCCCACCTCAGCCTGCTACATGACTCCCTGCCACGAGCGAAGCTTCTTCTTTAACCCAATGTGTGCACCTTGACCCACTCCCCTCTTTATGTAGGCTTGATCGGCCCCGGTGGTACTGTTGTCGAGGGCACGGCCGGCAACACTGGTACGACACCCCCTTGGCCCCTTTCCCATTGGCCCTTTAAGATCCAAGCGTAGTTGCCGATCACGCACACCAGTTCACAACATGTTCTGCAACCCCACTCGCCACCCCCCTCCCATTTGCACTCCATCGGCTGACCTGCCAACCCATGCAGGCATTGGATTGGCGCACGTGTGCCAGGCCCGTGGCTACAAATGCGTCATCTACATGCCCAACACGCAGAGCAAAGAAAAGATTGATACACTCAAGTGAGTGCATGGCCTGGAGTCAGCCCTTGCTGCGCCTTTGGCTGCGGCCCGCCTCCGCTTACTCAAACCTTGACTTCTTGTGCCATGCTGCGTCTACCTGCAGGGCCCTGGGAGCCGACGTGCGCCCCGTACCGGCAGTGGCCTTTTCTGATCCGGACAACTACAACCACCAGGTTGAAGCCTTTCTGGCTTGCTTTGGCTCTTGGTGCTTGACCATCCCTAACCCTAACCCTAACCCTAACCTATTCCTGCCCCCTCTTGCGACTCACATGCTCACAATACACACCCTAGGCGCGCCGCTTTGCTGAAAGCGTGGAAAATGCCGTCTGGACCAACCAGTTTGATAACACCGCCAACCGCCGTGCCCATGAAGTGACCACGGGCCCCGAAATCTGGGCACAAACGGGTATGCTCGCTTTCCACTGCGCTAGCTCAGCCATACAGCTCTTGCTCAGGCCAGCACATCTCTCGCGTCGCCATGTGCAGGAGGCAAAGTGGACGCATTTACCTGTGCAACCGGTACTGGAGGTACCCTGGCTGGAACAGCTCTCTACCTCAAGCAGCAAAATGAAAACATCAAGGTCAATGTTTTCGCTTGAGCGCAACCAAACTCCTCATATGGCTTGTGCTCAACCCTTGACATCTCACATGCCTTGCCTGCCTGCAGATTGTGTTGGCCGATCCACCGGGCTCTGTTTTGTACAACTATTTTACTAATGGCGTCCTTGAGCGCGAGGGTACCGGCAGCGTTACCGAGGGTACGCCTCTTCATGGCCTTTTTGTTTTGTTTTATTGGGGGGTGATGTCTCTGGTTTTTTGGTTTTTTTTTCGGGAGGGGACAAGCCATCTGTTTTGCATGTCGCTCGTGCGTGACCACATATTTCTAGCTGACAAGAAGCATGCCCGTGATGGACTTCATCAGGTATCGGCCAGGGCCGCGTGACAGCCAACATGGAAGGCGCTCTCGTGGATTCTGCTGTCCATATTCCCGACCCAGCGTCAATCGTCCGCGTGCGTACCGTTTTCAAGCCGTTCTCGCCAGAGCCGGCCTGTTTTTATTTCTTTGTTGTTCGATTCACATCAGGTTGACCTAACTGGCGTGTGGCATCATTCTCTGGCCGACATCCGTGTGCGCATTGATAGACGTTCAAGCTGTTGCATGAGGAGGGCTTTTGTGTGGGTCTTTCTTCGGGCTTGAACGTGCAAGCCGCCGTCGAAGTGGCCAAACAACTCGGCCCGGGCCACACCGTTGCAACTTTGATCTGCGATAGCGGCCTGGTGAGTGGTGCTGGCCGGCACTGGACCCCAACTTCTGGCCCTTCTGGTCTTGCAGTGACTCGAGACTTGGAGATGAAAAGCTAAAAACTGCTTTATGCTCACCCAACGGCTTTATCATTTGGCTCGCTAGCGCTATGCCTCGCGCATCTTCAATCGGGAATGGCTTGAGGCCAAGGGTAAGTTGCTGGAGCATATGCCGAAAAACTCCGCCACCCTCATGCTGTGGTGCGCTGGTCGTCCCTCTTGTAGATTTACTGCAACATGTACCTGCCGAATACCACAAAAGCTTGCTTTGAGGCATCTTCGTCGTGGATGCTTTGCACGATCTTGGGCGTCTTGATTAGGCGGGATCCTTCACATGAATCTATATTACTTTCGGATTTGTTTTTTCCGTCCTCACATGAATCAAGCAGACGGCCAAAGCAACGATTTTGTGCAGACAGGGCGTGAGAGGAGAGATCAAACGGGTACATTGCGCAGAGACACCAAGATGCAACTCATCCCCCCCACCTACATCTCCACCCACAGCACAATCCATTCCGAGTTGAGCCAATGTACCAAGTGACTGGATTGAGAAAACACTTTTAAAATTTTATCAGATCAAAAATCTGATCTGAATTTTTTTTGTGAAAAAAGAAAGAACATCAACAACAAGTTTACACAAACACCACTGATCATGGCAGAGGAGCCGAATCACCGACGACGCCAGCTGCTGGGCTTTGGCGAGGCCATGGTGCGATTCGCGCCGCTGTCTGCTGCGGAGGCAGGCGTAGGTGCCTCGGCAGCCTTGCCTGCAGAGTAAGTGGTTGCAACTGGGTTTGTTCTCGGTTGGTTATCTGGCCACACTGAACGGATGCTTCGTGCTGCTTAGCCCGACGGCTACCGTCATGCTACGCTCCATTGGCGGCGATGAACTCAACGTGACCGTCGCTGCGGCTCATCTTGCTGCCGATGGAGATCCAGCCCCTCAGGTAAGCCTCCACATTCTCGACAGGTTCTTGGAAGTTGCCAGGGTTGACAGGCCTTGAGGGTCTACTCACTGCGCTGCGCCTGGCTTGCATATCGTAGTGGATCTCTGTGCTGCCGGAAGGGCCCATGGGGGACGTTATTAATGCGTCGGGCGCCCAGGCCGGCGTCGACACTAGCTTGGTAGGCTTGCTTTTAACCTGGCCGTGATCGCGCCGTGACCCGACCCGCACCTCACACGGTCATACATATTCACCGCCCGACTGCTCGGCTCAGGTGGTACGCGTCCCCAACGCCGATGCTGGCATCTTCACCGTCATTCCTGAGATCAAGCAGGTTAGACCCGTTTGTTGCATCTCCTCGTGTTTTTTTATTGTTGTTTTGGGCTTTTCTTGGTTTGACCTTTGCAGAAGCTGCATAAAATCGCCTCAGGACCCTGCTCTAACTTGCCCGTTGCTGTCGCTCTTCGGTGGGTAGGTGCATTACCAGCGTCGCAATGGCGCATTCGCCCAGCAAGCCCCAAATCTTTTTGACTGGGACCAGGTGTGCCTGCGTGCTTGCCGCCGTCTCCGCCCATCAAAGGATGTCGATTCTGCCCTCTCCGCTTATGTCCCCGCCCCCCTTTTTCCTCAGATTTTGACTCGCGGCCCCAATGCCAAGTGGCTGCACATGACGGGTATCACGCCCATGATCTCAACGCAAGCGCGCTTGGCTTGGACTCAAGCCATGCTGGCCGCGTACACGCACGAGGTTCCGGTGAGCATGGACTTTAACCATCGACCTCAACTAGGCTCTTTGGAGGAGCTATGGACCGTCATGGCCCCGCACGCCAGTCGCTTGCAAATGCTGATTCTCAGTGTGCGCAATCTCGTCGACCTTGCCAACTTGGAGGTCAGTACCGCGCACCGACAGCCTGCACCATCGCAAAGGACACCCGACCAGCTGAACCATTTCAACCCGTTTGCATCACCGCCTGCTGATGGTCATGGCTCTAGGGTTTGGGCGCCCATGTACCATCGAGCGAGACGCCGCTGGAATCACCGGCCTGGCGACGCCTCCAAGCGGTCCTGCGTGCCCACTGGCGGCTTCATCGTTTGATGGTGTGCTACAAGGATCGCGACGATCAAGGCCTCCAGCGCCGCTGGAGTGCCATCGCCGATGCCCGTGGCGTCCATACCACCCTCAAGCAGCCAGTTTTCCATCGCCCAAAAGACGAGTGTGGTGGCGGTTCGGCTTGGGCTTGCGGTGTCATTGATGCGTGCGTAGTCTGAATATCAATGCCACCCGTCTTAGCTAGCCCCGCGTTCTCATGTTTCATGCCCGCCGTTTTCCTGTGCAGTCTCGACGAATTTGAACTGCGCGTCCATGAGAGCTCTAGTGAGGGTACGGTGCCGTTCTTCAGAGCCATTACATATAACGCCGTGGCTTGCGCGCTTATTGGATTGCCTAATACTGCGGTTTTTGTTTTTTTCTCCACTCTTTCTCGTCGATGAAAGCAGTGATGGACCAAGACATCTTTGCATCGCGTATGGTGGAGGTTGCCCGTCGTGGTGACTTGATGGCAGGTATGCTGGCTCGTCCGCAACTAGTTCACCTTCATGAATTTCCCTATGAATTCTTTCCCCCTCCCGCGCGTGCTCGCATTTTTAACCCACGTCCAATTGTTGGTATTTGCAGCGCTCTGCCAAGAGACGATGGGCGACCATTCACAGGTCACGCGTGCGCAACTGCAAGACGTCGAAGCCTCCTACGCAGTACGTCTGACAATCACTTTTAGGACCCAGGCTCATGTTTTGATGTGTCCGCGCTTTGTTTCACTGATTGGATGGCTGCGTGTGTCATGCCACACTCTTTAGAGCCGCGCTGTTCATCTGGATAAACTCAACAGCGGAACGGGCAATGTCGATGCCACGTTGGCGCACCTGAAAAACGCCGGCGTCCTGGCGATTCTACGCGCCAAGAACCCTGATGCCGGTGCGCAGCGCGTGCGGTCAAAAACTTTTTGTCTCCCGCGCGTGTGCCTTGCATGTGAGTACATGCGTGAGTGCATGCGCTCATGTCATCTTCTCTTGGCCCCCTTTTCTGCATTTGGTAGCCATTGCGCGTGGCATTGAGCTCGTGGAGCTGGGCTGTCGAGCTCTTGAGGTTACACTGGATACGGTAAAGCATGCATTTGCCACACCGGACACTTGATGATACCTGCACTGTGCACTTACCTGCCCCGCTGTGCTTGTCAACAGACCGAGTGGCGCCGCGTACTACAGACCTTGGTGGAAAAGCTTCCGGCCAACGTCTGCGTGGGGGTCGGCACTGTCATGGATGCAGATGTGCCTCTCTTGCCCGAGATTGCTCGCCTCGGTATGCATGTTACCTTTTTATTTCTTTTCTTATTTCTTTTCTTAGTCAGCTGGCAAGGTGCTAAAAACGCGGCCGTAGCCGCAGGCTCGACTAGCAGATTCTCACAGTCACCTCACGCTTGACTCGCATTCCGTTCGCTTTGTGGCTGCGTTGCGTTGGCAGGGGCCAAGTTTGCACTCTCTCCGATCGACCCGTTGGGCTTCATTGATGCCTGTCATCGGGTGGGCATCCTGGCGGTGCCTGCCGGCATGACGTCAAACGAGCTCTGGGACATGCATCGACGTGGAGCCAAGCTCATCAAGCTTTTTCATGCCAGCATGGTTACACCCAAGATTCTCAAGTGCGTACGCCGGCTTTGTCTGCAGAGCCGTGGCCTATTTTTTGCGCCCGCCCCGCGCGCCAAAACTTAATTTGGCGCGAGATACCTGCACGCTCGCCGATGATGATTTGGGTGATGACCTGGCAGGTCGATGCTGGGCGTGAGTCCCCTCAAGGCCATGAACATTGCACCTTCTGGCGGCTGCTCTCCGGACAATGTGGAGGAGTGGTGGGACGCCGGGGCCGTGTGTGTGGGCATGGGCTCCAATTTGGCCGGCAAAGACATCAATTTCGCCACCGGTACGGAAAGCTGACTCGTCCCGGTATGAGCGCGTACCTCTGGGCCTCACATCTCATTCTACGACGCGCGACGCGACGCTATTTGTAGGCACAGATGGTTTTGAAGCGGGCCAAAAGGCCTGGCGCGAGCATGGACGGCAAGCAGCGCAATCAATGTTTTCCCGGGTGCAAGCGCGCTTCCCATTGGCCTCGTCCTAAACTCTCGTTCAGTATGGATAATACAACCCTACATCAAACATTGCGCCCACAGGGTTGCGGATGTTCATGTGAGTGATTTGTTAGTCAACTTCAAAAGACTTTGACTTCTTACTTACATATAGTTCATGACATGTAGATGCAAATGTATTTTTGTTAAATTTTCTCTCTTTTCGTTTGCTTTTTTCCCGAATTTGCATGTCAATTGAAATCACTCGGAACTTGTTCCTCTGCTCTTGGTGTGCCATCGTCACCTGGCTTTCATGCTGCACTGACCACAAGTGAATCAACTGCTTAGGCTGCGATGGGTTCTGTTTGCTGTTGCAGCCAGTGAAGTTCCTCCGTTCTACCGTAAGAGAGCGATGGCCGACGCTGGTGAAAAGCTAGCCGGTTGCACAAGAAATGCTACAAAGAGCTTCTGGCCACTGAATGTGTCAAAAAGCAGGAACGTACTTGCCCTGGCGCATCAGCTCCGGGCCAACTCGTGCGCGAACCGTTGTGTGGTAGCGGTTCAACCAATCAAGTTCAGTTGCCGTTAGCAGCTTGACGTCCAACATTTTGCGCTGTGCCCAATCCCCGACCATTCCCACGTCAAACAAAGTGAGGCGAGAGGCCAGCAATCTGGCATGCGAGATCTGCGCTCGCCGACACGTTCAGCCAAGCCAAGCGTTGCTTATTCTGACCTGAATGGGAAACAGTGTGATTGGGGAGAAGCCGAGCGATTTGTCGCCGGGCGCAAGGCTCACAACTTCCACCACGTTTTCGATGCGAATGCCAAAAGCACCGTCCTTGTAATAGCCTGCACATGATGGTCAGGCATGGCAGCACAGGCGTGAGAAGCAGGGGATACTAATCGGGCAGAGGGAGGAGCTCAAGTAGCAGGTTTGGTCTTCTGTACCGGGTTCGATCGTCACGACCTGCCCAGGCTCTAGGGGATGTTCGGCTGAGCAAAAGAGACGTCTGGGTGAGTCCGTGTGGTGCCTTGAGCGATGAAATGGGCACAACCCAGAGCAAAGGGACGTACAGGCCTTGGGTCGGAAGCTGATTTGCATGGGGCCCTCGTGCACGTTCAGGTGGGAACCAACCCCATGGCCAGTGCCATGTGCATAATCCATACCAGCCTCCCATAATGAGGCGCGCGCAAACGGGTCGATTGTGCGGCCTATGCAAGGATAGTTCGGAGACCCGAGTGCGCCGAGCATGAGCGGTCACTCGTTCTGACCGAGTGAAATGCGCACGGCAGCTTCTTACCGTTGGTGCCCGGTGGGAAACGCAGGTTGCTCAGGGCAATATGGCCCTTGAGGACGCGGGTAAAAGCCATTTTCTCCTCGGCAGTAGGCGTACCGAAATGGACGGTGCGGGTAATGTCCGTGGTGCCGTCACTACAGGATAAACGGACAAGCATCCGTGAATGCAGAGCACAGATGAAGGACAAACCAGCGCGAGTTCAAACCGCACGTGTATTGGCCGCCGCTGTCACAGAGATAGACACGCTTGTTGTCGAGACGATCACATGTCACCGGGTCTGGAAGATGACGGTCGACGTGAGCATTGCATAGCAAGCACGCTCGCGTTGAGCAACACACGAAAATGCTAGGGTCACGCACTTGGGGTGTAGTGGATGATGGATCCATTGGCTCCGATGGAAGAGATGGTGTCAAAGCTGAGGCTGTGGTAGAGCAGCTGCTGCCTGTGTTAAGCAGACATCAGTTCAAAGTCAAAGCAATGATGGGGCAAAACTACCCGGCTCAGGGCGAGGCGAGAAGAGTTTGAGGCCTTACGCGCGCAGCTCCTCGAGCATGGTGGCCGCCTCAACCTCTGTTGGGCCAATTTCACTTTTCATATTGACGAGGGGAAAACACGGTAAGAAACACGTGACTGGTGGCCCACATGGAAGGCCACACGACAACCTACTTGACTTCAAATAGTTTGTCCAAAGTCATGAAGAAGGAAGACAGGGCCACGGCATCGCGGATGTGACAGGCCCTGCCATGGTTCGGGAGATAAAAAAAAGAAAAGTGACGTGTGTCGATGAGCGCAGTGTTCAAAAGGCCCAAATGATCATGTGTGCGGTATGACGCACCGCATGCCGGCGAGCTCAACTGGGTTCTTGACAGCCTTGCGGGATTCCACGGGAGTAATGTCCAGATTTGTCTGGCAAACATGGAAATTGAAGTTGTCACATGAGGTCAGTAACAATGGAAACATTGATCAGAAATTGGATGGTAGGGCGCAGCAGCAATGGCAGACCTCGTAGCCTGCTGTCTCGAGGATATCAACGACGGCATGGCTGCAGCGGCGCGCCAGAAAAATTGGTAGGTTCTTGAGGGCAGGATCTGTGCGCATCGGGACATGAGTTGGGCAGGCAGGGTAATGCCGGAGCGCATGGGTCGCGCCGTCGGGCGTACCAGCATTAAGGATGCCTGGGAGACGGGAAAAAAAGGATTCATAGGGAAGAACCTCAACAGCTGCGCTCAGCTGCTCCCGCACCCCGGGGTCAAAGCGAGAGTCGTCCACAAAAAGCCAGGCCTGGTCCATTGTGACGAGGGCATAGGCGTAAAAGACTGGGCAAGCATGTGCATGAGGTGAAATGACGAGCCGGCTCAGTGCAACGCAGCAGATCTGGGCCCGTGGGTGCGCTTGGACCATTTCTCGCCTCTCTTGTTGGGCGGGCGCAAAAAAAAGGGATGAAGCGGTTGCACCTGGGTTGTATTGGATATCATTGCCACGGAGGTTAAAGAGCCAAGCAATCTGTTGCCATAGCAAAGGTGAAGCATGGGGTTTGACAAAACACAGGATGAGGCAAGCCTGGAAGCATTTGCCGTGGCGATGGAAAAGGCTGCGTACGTCATCGAGCGCCGTGACGATGATGCAGCTGCAGTCTGCATCCCTGATGTCGGCACGTAGCTGTTCGAGCTTGGCTTCCACGGGCTGACCAGCTGCTTGCAGGGGTTGGATGCGGATGGGCTCTGAAGCGGGGTTCAGCAACCAGATCAGCGGTGGTACACGTGGAGGCCTGACTGGCATGTATCCAAGTAAAGGGGACACTGCAAACCTTGAGGTTGGCGGGGTCGGTCCTGCCAAATGGCATCAATCAGATTTTCCTGGAGTGGCACGAGGCGAATGTGTTTCTGACCATGTGACAAGAAGAGAATGAGCTGGCAGATGCAAGGCCATTTGGCTTGATCGGTCATGGGGAAGATGGCAAACGAGAGGAATGCAAGCACGACAAGAACTGAAATCGGGCTGGGAGCACCTTGTCGAGCGCGGTTTTGAGATTTTGATAATCGGGATGCGCTGTGACGGCAGGGTCCACACCCACGGCTTCACCTGATGGAATGACCTGACGGAGAAGGGGAGAGGCGTTGGCACGGACAGGCACACATCGGGTGTGCGGGACCACTGTCCAACACTGGCATGCACCGGGGGGCTGACCTGAGAGAGCCATCGCTCACGGGACGGGACGTCGGGCTGGCCTGACCAAGCTCGAATCAATGCAAGCGCCACCATGCGATAGTGAGACGGCAGACGAGACCGTTGCATCATGTCCGGACAGGACTTGGCGTGACGCTTCAGCGGGAGCAAGCAGATGGTGGTGAGGCGGTGTGACCGCACCGCTTTTCATGAGGGTCCAGGCTTCATCAAGCTGATTACTTGCTTGTAGCCAGTATCGACCGTCGGTCCACAGGGCGGCCTTTGAGGCCGTGACGATGGCTTCGCCTGTTTGCATGAGCGGGGGCGGGGTTTCAAGAGCAGAGCAGGGCGGTGTCAGCCGAGAAAAAAAAAAGGTGGGAAACCAGTGTCAACCATCTTGGGAGCTGGCGCATACCAGCCGAGCCGTCAAAGCCAGATATCCAGGCGCGGCGGGCATAGCAGTCTGCTATATATTCGCTCTGACCATGGAGAATGGGCCGTGAGGCTGGTGCAGGTCTGCAAGCGGGGAGTAAGTTTGGTCGTCCAGGGAAGCGGAAGAAACCTGACCTGGTGCGGGTCCTCGGACGGAATGATAAAGGCGGAAACGGCATGTTGCTTCAACAAGGCCCGCAGGCTGGCCAGCCGCTATTGTGGGCACACCACTGAGGTGAATCGGCAGAACAAGAAGAACAAGAAGAACAAGAAGAACAAGAAGAACAAGAAGAAGAAGAAGAACAAGAAGAACAAGAAGAACAAGAAGAAGAAGAACAAGAAGAACAAGAACAAGAAGGCAGCAGGGAAGCGGGAGGCGGAAGCAGCAGGGAAGAGGGAGGCAGACGGAGGAAGGCGCGCAGGGAAGCGAGGGGGCGTACGGCTGCTGGAGCCATTGAAGAGGCGCTGATGGACATGATGGTCCGAGATCACAAAAATGTATTTTACTTTCCCTATCCATTTTAAAAATGTATTTTACTTTTCTCTCACACCCACTACAAGTATTTTACTTGATGTCGCGCCAAGTGCATTGTATTAAGTGTTTTACTTTTTGTGGATGTGCCGGGTTCGTCATGGTTTTCTCACGTCTGCGTGTTTCGGGTGTAATCTCGGCGCACTTGAAAGTTGCAGGTGTGGTGATATCGAAGCGGGCGTAGTGGACATTATGTGGTGGGAGTGTGGGCGGTGCTGTCGGAATGGATGGCGCCACACGTCCGTCACGTTTTTCGCTGTTCAGGGGCGCGCTTACTGCCGTCGTCCGCGCGGCATGGCCTGCCTGTTTTGACCGCCCTGGCGGTCATTGGTTTTGGCGGCTGTGCTACCGCTGGGTGTTGTACTCTGGCACTGCTGTGGGTCACACAAGCGAGCGCCCTTTGACCCGACGGGCCATCGGGCGCGCGGCGGGCTGGGAGATGAAACGTGCCGGCAGAAGGACTGGGCGAAGAGGGCGCTTCTGCAGCAGAAAAGATATATAAGAGCACACAAACTACGTCATTAAAAACATTATATCAGCTAGTAACGAATGACGCATATGCATAAAGTCGAGACTTTTCTTCATAAACTTTCAAGCCGCACGTGATGATGTTATAAAAAGGACAGCATACTTGGAATGACACAAGGGATTCCCATGGTAAACAAAGGAACCCCTCCTCAGCCACACCTCGCCTCTCTGATTTTGCAACGCGTTGCGCACCTCTCTCTTGATTTGCACCAGAGCCATGCCAACTCTCTGCTAATGCCTTTGCTATTAAACTTTGGAATTTATCGTCCAAGACGGAATCTCTGCAGCTCATCGCCTCGATCAAGTGCGCCTTCCAAAACGCCTCCACCCATTCCATCTTCTCTTCACGCACCCTTCTCTGCCGGTTCCACCCCACCCCAGCTCAATCTCTGATTTCCCTTTTGCTCCCCTCGACCAACTCCACCCCATCCGCACGTCTCTCTACCATTTATCCCGCAGCCAACCCCCTTCTCTCCCTCAAAGAGAAAACGTCGCGTGCCATTCTGTGTGTGTGTGTGTGTGTGTGTGTGTGTGTGGCGGAGGGAGAGAGACTTTCCCCGACGGTGCTGTGCGGGTGGGCTGCGCGCCTCTTGCTGTTCTTGACAGCGTCTCTCCTGCTCGCCCGTGCCTTTGGTTCGGGGCGTGTGTTGTCATTTCAAGGCATACCAAGTTGAATCGGTGAGATGGCTATGATCTGGGCTGCTGCTGGCTGATATGCGCGGTCTTGGCACACGCCTTTCAGACGTACACACGCAGCTTGGTCCGCTGCTGGGTCGCGCTGTACTCCTCGACAAGTGTCGCTTCCATGGCTGCGCGTTGCGATGGGAGAGCATCTTTGCCCGCCACACACAGACACAGACACAGACACAGACACAGACACAGACACAGACACAGACACAGACAGACAGACACACAGACACACACACACACACACACACACACACACACATACACACACACACGCACAAGAGTCCAGCTCAAAGGGCAGGCTAATGGAGGCTTATCGCCACCCCGCGTCGGCATGATCCTATTCATCCCTCTCGCGTCCCCCGCTCCAATCGCATTCGCTTTGAACCATGCCAGCCCAGGCTAGAACAACCCGCCTTGCTGCCTGCCTTACCACACCACCACCACCACCAGCAGCAGCACCCTTTCCGCCCGTCGACATGATGACCGCACAACCTCCGATGTGCCAGAACCATTCCACTCCCTCATCCAATTCCTTCTCGAGTCACCGGCGACGCTCACTCTGGCTCGGTCCGCGCACTCCTGACATAGGTTTCCCCTCTCAACTCAACTCAGTCTGCCGTAGCAAGGTCTATGCTGAAACAGCATCTTTCTCCAACGGCCAAGCAAGCTAATCCTGACCAGGCTCGCTAAACCCCCAGCAGTGAGCGCCACGGCAGACAGCAGTTGCGTTTGGCTTCTCTTCCTCCCCCTCCACCCTTATTTGCTACTGGGCGACCGCGCTCAGAATCGGCATCAGCATCATGTGGGTTGGCCGCGCCCCCACCGCGGTGACTGGGCTGGTACTCCTCCTTCTACTCAGTCCTAGCTTGCTCTCGGTGGCCAGCCGCGACATTCGTCGCGCTCCCGAGACTGCCAGCGCCACATCCACCACCATTGCAACCCTTGATGACACGCATGAGCTTGCCATCTGGTTTGCCCTGCCATATGCTGTTGTCGAGCACAATGATTCAGCCTGGCAAGCCATCCTCAATGCCACGCTCATCGCCTTTCGCAACAACACCAACATTCCCATCCAGTCAAATGACATTCTTCACACCGACCTTTTCTCTTTACACAATGGCGAAGGAATTGGCTGTCGTCTCTATCTGCTTGAAGCCACCATGGCTGACCAACTGTACAGCTTTATGAGCGACCTGGATGCCCTCGTCATTTCAGTCAACGGCACCAACATCTTGGTGATTGCCATGCTTCGTCACAACTACTCCACCCTAACCCCGGAGCTCGAATCAATTGCCCCAGACAGCTCGGACAGCCACGCACATCCCCACGTTCTACAGACCGTTCTCATCGCCGTCTTTGCCGCGGCCCTTCTAATCACCCTCATCTTCATGGGCGTGCATGCGTACCAGCGCAAACGCTGGCAAGCCAACATCAATGCCAATGCCCATCTCGCCTTGAACACACCTACCCCCAGCAGCCACCCCTCCACCCCGGACAAGTCCCACCTCCAATATCCCTTTGACTTGGCTGTTTATTCCCCCCTTCAACTTGCCATCTTGCGCGTAAGTCACTCATGACAACAGCATTGCATGCGCTTTCATCGCTTTCATCGTTTGTGATTAACAAACATTTTCTGCTGGGTATGGCTAGGGCGAAATTCCAGCACAGGCCGTTCCATCCCTCCCAGTGCAGACCCCCACGCAGGCGATGCAGACAGGGCAGGGGGGTCAGCCGTTGACCGACTCACACGTGCACGCCTCTTCCATGAACTACCCAGAAAGCTTCAATGTTGACCTCATGGAACTAGGCGACGTCACCGATGACCTTACCGCCATGTTGCAAGCTGTCCACGAGCATGACATGGCCACGACAGTCGCTGCCAACCCCACGACAACCGCCTTGCACCTCCGGACCTCAAACGGCCACCCTCCCTTGATTGGTGGCTCCCATCCCCCACCCGTATCCCGGGCACATGGGCCAGCCGAGACTAGTCCCAGTGTCTATTCAACGAGTAGCTCTGCCCCACTCTCGCCTCCGCAGCAGCTTTTGAGCCTCAGTCCTTCGCTGCGGCCTCAGCAAATGTCTCCACTCTCTGACGACGGTTATGGAACCAGTCACCTGAGCGACAGCCAGCAAACTGGCTCCGTTTTACAAGCGTCTCAAAGCTTAAAGGATCAAGCGCAATGTACGTTCAGGGCCCCAAAGGCCCATCCATGCCGCCCCCACCAGATCACACTTTGCTCACGTGCGCCTGATCACGTGACCTACTTGCCATTGTACGCCAGGGATTAATCAGCGTGACCCCCACGGCTACACCCCGCTAGCTTGGAGTGTGTATCTCGGCCAAGCCACAAGCATAGAGTACGTAGCTGGCGTTTCCGGCCCTTTTTTTTTTTTTTTTTTTTTTTTTCCTTTTTTCCTTTGTGTTGCTATTCTTGAATGATATCTTGTCGTCCTTAGCTTCTTGATAGACGTTCATTCGACACGATGCTGACCGTCTGCTTGTCGACCACAGATATTTGCTGCGGGAAGGTGCCGATCCCAACATTCCCAACAATCAACACCAGGCTCCCCTGCATTTATCTGCTCTTACACCGGGGACGGAGGTTGTAACGGCGCTCTTGCTCAAGGGAGGTGCCGACCCCAATGTTCTCGACTCGGAGGTGGGCGCCAACGTCCAAGCTTGTGTTTCCCTCGCCTTCAATCCTTTTAAAGAGTCTGCCGTAGAGAGATTCGACATGGCACGATTATGAGCCTCCATCTTGGGCTCACATTTGTCCTCTGACCATCGACCCGCGCTTTTAGAACAACACGCCTCTGATGTATGCCTGCCGTCTGGGCAGCCTACGGATGGTCAATCTACTGCTTGATCACGGAGCTGATGTTCTTGTTGCGGACCAGCGCGGCATGACTGTGTTGATGCATGGTGGTATGCTTGATTTGCTGTTTTCACCCATCAAACTTATTTGCCACTGGTCCAAACTTGTCCGTCCTCGACGCGGGGCTCATTACACCCTCTGACTGTGGCGTCCGGTGCATAGCGGTCCTGGGTCACACAGCCATCGTGGAGCGAGTGCTGCAGGCTCGCACTTCGAGCGTTCACATGCAAGATCGCAACGGCTGGTCGAGTCTACACTGGGCTGTGGCTTCGGGGGCTCTTGGGTGTGTGCGCGCCATTCTGCAAGCCGACGCACTCAACCTGGCGCTGGCGAACGACCACGAGGAGACCGTTTTTCACTTTGCTGCCCGCCGCGGAAACATTGAGGTCCGTCCTCGAGCGTCGCCAAGTGAAGTATTGTCGCAAGCATGCAGCTCACACTTCACTCGGGGTGTATGCTCTGCCCCCCCCTATTTTTTTTTTTTCAGGTGTTGGAGCTCTTGATCGAACATCATCTGCAATCCAAACGTGGCCGCGCTCATCACCATGCAAAATGGCTCACTGAAGTCATGAGCGCCCCCTCGGGCCTCGGCTATACTCCTGAAGAATATGCCGAGCAAGGAAAGCATGATGCCATGGTTGCCCATATCAGAGCCACGCTCGCCGGTATGGTCGTTCAAGGCAACATGTTTTCACCTGTCTCGTCTTTAGTGCTTCATGCCGCACCTCATGCGTGGGTGTGGGTTTGAACAGCTGCATCTAGCGCTTCCACGTCCCCGTTATCGGCTTCGGATGCCGACCACGGCACGTTGACCTCGGCCTCGGAGGACCTGGGGCACTCTCGCGAGTCGGTGAGTTTTGCCCTTGCCGTGATCTTGGAACTAGACAGGCTTGCCGGCTGGTTTGAACAAGGGGCTTTGTTGCATGTACACCGCCTGCCAACATTCATATTTCTTCCGTTCTGCTTTCGGCAGCAGAAACCTCTGAGTGCCGAGACGTTGGCCAAGCGGGTGAAGCGTCGTGACTACATGCGTCAACGGCGACAGGTGCAGAAGAGCAAGCTTGACAACATGGAGGACAAAGTGTCAGCGTTGGAGCAGCACAACCAGCTCTTGAACGATGCGGTTGCGCGGTTGCGAGCCGATGCAGCACAGATAGAGGCTGCCCTCGCCCGCCCACCCCACTCCACAGCTACACAGTACCCTCGATCTCAACCAAAACAACAACTTCAAGGGCATGGTCTCTTGACAAGCACTGTCGTTTGAGACGCACGGAGAGTTGCATGATGCATCAGCCATGATCGCATTGCATGTCGTCCATCAGTTGTTTCTTTCTTTGTCACATGCTAATCTGCTGCATGCTTGCTGGAGGTCTTTGTTTCCCAGCCAACCTCTGCACGCGTCGGCTTTTCATTTGAGTTTAATCGCCCCGACGCAGCCCATGATGTTTCCGTGTGTCTGCTCTGTGTGTTCCTGTCCTCGTGTTGCCGCACTTGAAGCATCCTTTTTGTTTCTTTCATGTACATTGCCGTGCTTACGAGCCGTTCCGCGAACGACCCAACATTGAATCCAACCGTCTATCAACCCGCACTGACGTTACTGATGAACATTCATGAGATCACTTTTGACACTTTGACGGCTTCTGTGCAAGCTGTGATGCTTCTCGTCCTCCAAAAACACCAAAACGTGACTTTCCTGACATGAGAAGCAGAGCAGTGCTTTGGCGTGCTAAGCAGACTTGGCCAGGTACGCGCCCTGTATTGCCATTCAACCCAACTGTGCCAGGAAGCGATCCATCAGCTCCGCCTTTTCTCTCTCTGTGTCTGTCTGTCTCTCTCCCCACCCAATGTGCCCAGTTGGAGCCCTGCACCAGAGAAAGAGAGAGTTTGAGAGAGAGAGAGTTTGAGAGAGAGTTTGAGAGAGAGTTTGAGAGTTTGAGAGAGAGAGTTGAGAGTTTGAGAGTTTGAGAGAGAGAGTTTGAGAGTTTGAGAGTTTGAGAGTTTGAGAGAGTTTGAGAGAGAGTTTGAGAGAGAGAGAGAGAGAGTTTGAGAGAGAGTTTGAGAGGGAGAGAGAGAAAAAGATTCACAAAGAGATAAGAGAGGAATGAATAAGCCTAAAGGAGTCAAGTGTGCGTGTGTGTGTGTTGATGACGTTTTTTAGTTCTGAATTCTGCATTGCGATCTTCGATATTTTTGTTGTTGTTCTCTCTCTCTCCCTCTCTCTCTCTCTCTCACTGTGAATGTGGCAGTCGGTCGAGGTCTGTTGGGCGGGCGGACTGACCGCGTGTTGGGGTGATGGGGGTGCGACCGGTCTTGGGGGTGTTGCCGGTGGAGGTGGTGGCGCTGGTGGCGGTTGTTTCCGTTCTTGGGGCATGGCTGCCGGGCGTGGCAGGGGTGAACAAGGTGGATATCGCGGGCAACGCCCTAAACATTGCCGATCGGAATGCGAGCTGCGCAGAAACCGAGGTCGATGCCATCACTTGCATTGGATCAAGATACAGACGCACAGCCTCGATGACCGTCACCCTGAGGGGCTCTCCATCTTTTGACATGACGAACCTGGACGCCCCTCTTTGGTGGACCCTCGACCTATCCACCACGACCAACATTTCGAGCCTTCAGATCATGGCCAATGGTCAGGCGCAGACACATATGAAGATCCAAGACTCTGTTTGGAACCCGGACAACCGACCCGAACTCGTGCACAGGGTCTCAATCTTCAACTCGCGAAGCATCATTGGCGGTCCCCTCAATCTCAGCTCAAGCCTCAATTCCGAAGTATTGGACTTGACAATCATGATCGCCTTTGACATCAACCCCTCCTATCAAAAGTCCAGCGTCACCATTTACGGCATGCGAGTGGACCAATTTTGCAGCTTTCAAAATGCAAACGACAACAGATGTAAGGCCCTGTCATGCGCCTTTGCCCCGCTAACCGGTTTCCTCCTTGCCTTGGCCCTCGCATCCTCCGAATGCCACTCCGTGTCTGGCTTGGCCAGGCCAATTTCATTCTTGTGTTTTTTCCTCGACTAGATGATACCATTGAATCGACACCAGCCGTTCAGTGCGTCAAAAAGGCCTGTCCCCCCGGCCAGTACTTCTATGTTTATGTTGGATTTTTTCAATATTGCGGGGTCTGCCCAATAGACACAGCGAGCCCGAGGGGCTCAACAGCATGCGCTACCTGTGGACCAGGCTATGTCCCGAGTAGCACACGTGCCGCTTGTGAACCATGCGACGCCGGAACAGCCGAGCTGGAAACTGGCACTTGTGATGTTTGCGAGTCGGGCACATATGCCCCAGTCAACTCAAGCACTTGCAACGCTTGCCCAGTCAACACATATAGTAGCACCAGCCAGGCTTCGTGTACCGATTGCCCAGCAAACTACACTTCCATTCAATCGGCCTCCAGATGTTGGGCTTGCACCGCGGGCAAATATCGCCCTCCCGGCGAGCCCTCATGCACGCAAATTCCCTGCTCGCCGGGTACATACATGGACGATAGCTCTGATACCTGTGTGATGTGTGCGCCAGGGTCATACCAGCCAATCGCAGGTGTGGTCGATGCTTGCATGGCGTGTCCCAGCGGCCATACCGATGCGAGCCGCACCGTCTGCTATCCTTGCGTCGAAGGCGAGTACTCGCTCACAGGCAGCCCGGCCCAATGTACAAGCTGTACCACTTGCGATGCTTGGAGCGGCGTCTACACGCCCTGTACACCGACCACCGACACCGTCTGCAAACGTTAGTCGACGCCCAAACTCTTGTAATTGATCCCGCCTGTGTTCGCTTATGCGGCGATGCCCATGCCTGCAGCTCTCTTTTGGCACGGCGAAGAGCCCATACGGGATGTCCTCGTCGACTGGGTTGTACGCGCGCCGGTCGATAGCGCAGACTTGACACTATCAACTTGGGTTGACGGTGTAGACTTTGAGCACGTGGGCCAAGTCATCCGAGGTTTGGTTTGTCGCTGGTGCAAAAGGCGCAAGCACACTTTGAACGCGACCAAACAGTTATGCTAACCTCTCATACTTCGTCCAACCGACTTGATTGGGTTGTAGATCGTGCTGGTACTTATGTATTAGTATTTATTGCAAACGGACCCAACCTGCCCTCCACGGCCATGCGCACGATTACGGCGCGTGTTCAAGTGACTGAAGATTTGGTCAGTGCAGCACTGAATTGATGTTTGGGATTAATGTTTTGCTCAGTACCTGGATGCGTGCTGGCGCTTGCTTCTTTGTTGTTTATACCCTCATGCGTGGAATGTGTGGTGTATTTCAAGGTGATTTTAAATCCCGAGCAGCCACCACTGGGGTCAACCTGCCTGGACATGTTAACCCATGGCATCATAATGCGCGGAGTTGGACAAGGCGAGGTGCAGCTGACAATGAACTGGCAGCCTCTAGCTACCCAGATCGAGTGGTCCGTTTACAATCTTGATGCAGGCACGCAGGCACACAAGGCATTCGACTGTAGCGCCATTGTTACGACAGCAGCACTTGTGACATCGACACCATCGTCGCAACCTACAACCACAACGACTACGACGACCACAACGACCACAACAACCACAACTACCACAACTACCACGACGACGACGACGACTACTACCACCACCACAACCCGCACAGCCACAAGAGTGGCTGCTACTACCCCAGTCCTCAGCACAAGCGCGACAACCATAGGCGGATCGCTGTCACCACAACAGAGCCAATCCGCGTGCGAGAATGGGGGCACCAATATCTATCAGATCTTGTTCTTCATCGCCCTGGTGGTGGCTACGATTGAACTCATTGTTTTGCTGCGGTATATGGCCGGGACCAGGCGCCAGCTGGCACCAAAAGTGGCCGCAGCAGATGATCACACCATCGCCATGATGCCGAATCCCATATACGGTAGCTTACACGGACATCGCGGCCCCTCTGCCCTCCTTTCAAACCCTGCAACTGCGTCAGCCGATAGCTCAGGGATAGAGCAAGTTGAGCCCCAATATGAATTGTTTGCATATGACGCTTAAACGCCGGGTCAACATTCGGGGCCATCACCTGCGGTCAACATCGAGCATTTTTCTATCTTGATTTATCGCGCAGAGCGCGGACTTTTTGCTGCGGCCGCCGTCGTGTCATGAGAAGTGGGCAAGCGCTTGCAGACCGCGATGTCCTGCTCTTGAGTTTCATCCTATTCATGAAGCTGGTTTACTTTTCAGTTGCTTGCCTTTCGGTTTTTATTTTCTTGATTTGTATTATTCGTGTGCTTCAATGTCTCTTTTCAAGGCTGTTTGTTGCTTGGGAGATCGATACGGATCATCCCCTTCTTCTTTGATTTCCCCACCCGCCGTCCATTGTGTCTTTGTGTGCTCTCCACTGGGGTCTTTTCTCTCCTTTCCAAGGTTGCATTGTTTTGATCGTGCTGTTTTAAACGTATGAGCATCGTGCTGTTTCCTTTCTTTTGCGTTCTGCCAAAGGGTCATTTAATCTTTGATTCACGAGCTAGTCCACATGATAATCAAATTTCATTCGTGTTTTCTTTCTGATCTTCAATACTCTTGCTTGTGGATGGAAACGCACCCACGGATGCACCCCCGCGGTGTCGTTGGGGCTTGGTCCTCGAAGAGCGTCTATAGTAACTCTTCGAGATGTTTACAGTGATGCGGCTCGTTGCACTCTGGGTCTTGCGCTGGGAACATGCTCGCCTCGCAGGTGGCATCCAAGTTCAGGTAGCGCTTATGGCGAAAGCGAGCATAAAGTCGGTCACAGCAATGCGCTTGGCCGGCGACGCGCCGGTAAACCACAGCTGCACGGTCATGCATTCGAGCACCTTGAAGAACCGGGATCAAAGCAGTCCGCTGATCGCGATTCAGGTCCAAGCGCTCATCCTTTTGGGTCAAAGACTGCGAATCGAGCTGGGAGTCTTCGGTATTAGAGTCGTCGGCCAGCTTGGGGCCGCATTGGGTCTGCTGAGCCATCAAACTGGCATGCGGGTCTGCATCGAGCAGCAAGACCTGGTCAAAGCGAGCCGCATAATTGGGGAAGGCTTCTGAAAACCAGCGATGCGAGCTCAGGATACGTCGGGTTGAACTCGGAGCTGTATGCACCCGCGAAAACAGCAAGGACAAAACGTACAAGCACGGGCCATCAGCAAGGGCATCGAATCATGAGGGTCGGGGGCACAGCGTTGAAACAGACCAAACCTCACCTCGGCCTGAAACGATCCAGCGCACGACGGCGCGTTTGATAGCCAAGGCCGGTTCAACTGTCATGGCCAGGAGTACGCAACGGTACTTGGACTTGCAGGTCGTCTAAGAAGACAAACGAGAAGGCGCGCTTTCGTGTTAGAGCACGCATGGCATGGCAGGGTCAATGTGATGCGAGGATCTCAATTGAGACTGAGCAGGTAAGTATACCTCGGGGCCACGGACCCAATATTGCTCAATGGAAGAGCCATCAGCTTGAGTGACATATCTAATCGCCCACCGCATGTGAGCACACAGTGAGCAGGCGAAAGGGGTCTGGCAAGCAGGCAGCGGCGGCAAAAAAATGGTCGTGGAGGCAGAACGGTGCGCGGATAGGCATGCCAGATCAAGCGAAACCGACCCGGGGCCTTTGACATAGTCGTGGTGCTGATCTGCAATCATGTCTAAAGTCTGATGAACGAATGGGGCCCACATCATGGTCGAGTCAAAGACAATGTGTCGACGCGCATTGACGGCTTTGACCAACAGGTCCTCAGCTGCACTGGTGGAGGATTGGTGAACAACGGCGCTGGCTTCCGCGGCTCCCACGCCCTTGAGAGCCTGAAATAGAGGGTCGAGAGTTTTGAGGCGATCAGCCTCAATCTGGACAACTTGGGCAGCGTGCTGACGCCAAAAGTCAGAGGCATAGAGGAGCTTCAGGCCCGAGCTTTTGCCAGAGGCTATCCCACCACCGGTGAAAAAGATGGTGGGGGGCTCATCGGATGAGCGAGCTGGGCAGACGCCGCCCTGACAAGCTTCCGCATCATCCACTTTGGACGTTTCACGCGCCACCGCCAACTCGCGAGCCCGCTACGAGCGCCGAGGGAGGGATGCAAATGGGAGAACACGACGCGCGTTAGTTGTACCACGGCCTCAACATTGCCCGTGTCATTGGCCCAGCTAAGATACTGCCCCGCCAAAAATGATGGTACCTCAAGATCGTCGATGAGGTCAATGCCAGCGCTAATGAGAGCCTCGCGCCAGCTGTTCAGGCTCGAAGCCGAGGTACCGTCTTGTGGCTGAGAAGTGGTTCTTGACAAGTTGGCATCTCCCGATTGAGGACTGCGAGCTAAATCGACGTCTGCAGAGTGGAGATTGACGGGTGGAGCAGATGCAAGAAAATGAGCAAGAAAAAAAGGCGCGAAGAAGTGGGTGGCCAAAAAAAAGGGGGACGAACCCGAGGAGCCTGAGGTCGTGTCGGCAGGCTGCGGCAAAGATAAAGGTGGAGCGTGTAGACCGACACTTTCATCGGCATTAGCCGGTGTGTTCAACACAAAGTCCTTAATTTTTTCGGGGCTTCGCTCGGCAGCTCTGTCAAGACATTGCCAGGGCATTTCTGTCAGAAGGGTAGGTGTGAAGGGCGTGCAAGGGCGAGGGGGGAGGGGGTGAATCGGAATGGCTGACCGAGGATATGCGGCACGCAATTCGCCGTTGATAAAAAGCAGGAGTGTGGGGTACACGCGGATGTGAAAGCGGTCACGCAAATCCAAGTGGTCAGGCCCATAGACGCAAGCGACAGCAGCAGACACATCTTGGGCGTGCAGCTGATCGGCGACCTGGTTGATGGCGGGTCTGAGGAGACGGCAGAAGCGACAGTAGTCGGCTGTGAACATAATGAGCACTCGATCTGCTTGGCCAATCAAAGTTTCCAGGGCCGCATAGGACTCGAGACACCAGACATGCTGTCAGGACGCATCGTCGCCGAGGTGTGATGTTGGTTCAGTGGGCAAAAGAAAAGGGCATAGGCGTGTGGCATGTGAGGTTGGCAATGGATGCAAGCGAGGCGAGAGCTCGAAACGGGGCTGAGAATGAGGCAACGGAAGGAGGAGCGATGACGCACCGCCGACCAGGCTTCGCGATCTGCGCGGGACATAAAAGTAGCTGGGCGTGGACGCTTGGCCGGGGCTTCATGAGAGGTGGGCTGGGCCTTTGGTTCGGGCTCTTCATGGAGGGGCAAATCTACAGCATGTAATTGCTGCACTTCGCAGGTGTGACGAAAGGAGAGGAAGGCAGGTCTATTAACTTTGTAAAGGGCGGGCAGATTATCCCAGTGCTGGGCAAAGTAGGCGTGGCCCGCTTGTCGCAGCTGCCCAAGGATGCGTGTGTAGAGCCGGGTACGACAGATGCGGCGACTGCTGGGGAAGGTCTGGGGTGGTGCAGCAGGGGTGGTGCGGCGGCGTTCTATTTGCAAGAGGTTGAGCCGGCGTAGCGCATCAACCAGTTGATGATTGGTGCCTCGCACGATGGGCGGTGTGGTATTGTGGTCATGTTGGTGGCATGGGGACACGGCACCATGCGCTGCTGATGAGGCAGGAGGTGCGGCATCGAGCGGCAATGGTACAGGATGGAGGGAAGCCGAGGCCGGTGATGTACTGCGGCTATCGGCAGCGCGAAGGCGCGACTGAAGGTCTTGATAGAGAAGCTCCATCAGGCGGGGGACCAGGTCTTGAGGAAGATGATCGGCATATCTGAGATCAAGGGGAGAGGCGCAAGTGACATGGCAGGGGAAGCGTTTGAGCGAATGAGTCCGAGACAGCTGATCACTGTCCTTGCGCGCTGGGGTGGGTGGTTTGCACACCTGTAGAGAAAGGCACTGGCTAGGAGGTGGTATCGGGAAGTGTCGAGGCCGGGAATTTCGTTCTTTTGGACGGCGTAGGCGGCAAAGGGCAGGAGGGGAGGGGAGGCCTCGGCCTCGGCCTCGGCTGCGGGATGGGACTGCATCGTTCCTCCGCCTTCAGCTGCACTGGAGGAGCGTGAGTCGGCGGCCGTTGAGGCACGCTCTTGTCCAGCCGGCATCAACGCCCGTGTCGAAGCCACCGCCCGCTCGTTCATCCCTGCTTGTGGTCGCAAGGCCTCCGACTTTGCGGGCTGGTCACCCCGCACCGCCATCACGTCCCCTCCCCAGCTCTCTGCAAAGAAGGGATGAGATCCCAACCGTCACAAAAACGTTCCGCAAAGCCCATGGAGCGAGGCAGCAACGCCAACCAGGCACCTGGTCAATGGAACCTGACCGAGGGAGGGGAAGGGGGGAAGGGGGAGGCGCCGCGGCAACGGAGCAGCTGAGAGAGATAGAGAGAGACAGGAAGAGAG